TACTACATGATAATCCAGATGCTTTACGTTACACCAATCTGGCCACAGCTCTATCAAAACCAATTTAGACACACAAACTTACCAGACTCTATCCAAAACATACTGGTAGAAAATACATGCATAATAACCTCATCCACATGTAAAAAAAAGATTAAAAGTTATTTAATGCTGACAAAATTTTTATACTTGGTAATATATTTTTCTTCAAAAATCCATAGCTGGTGATATATTTTCAAAGAATTTATAGCTGCTTTTATTGTTGGTGTTCTGTTTTAAAGTATTGCTGATAATAAATTATTGCTGGTAATAATTTTTTTTTTTTTTTATTACAAAGTATTTCTGGTATTAAAACCTATATTTACACAAGTTTGGGTGTTAACTATTTGCCCATAGCTGGGACCTAAACAGGTTCTACCACCCCGGGTCAGGGTGGACCTAGGAACACCATCAGTTAAGAGGTGGTTCCACGCTCCTCAGAACCTCCTGATCAGAGGCCTTGTGCTGCTGGACATATTTTATTGTCTTTAGCCAGGACACAGATGTAGTTTATTGTCATACCCAGGATTGATTACTATATATATATATATATATATATATATATATATATATATATATATATATATATATATATTTGTATATTTAGGCAGCAATCCTTCCTTTATGCATGTTTCATTAAAAAAAAGACAGACAAGGTACTACAGTTGAGCTTTTTATTTAATTTTCTGGACAAAGAGTGTGTAAGAACATGTTTATCCAGACATCTTACATTACACCTATCTGATCACAGTTCCATCAGAACACATTTAAACACACACTCAGATTTACCCGACACTATTAGGAACATACTAGTAGAAAACACTAATATATTAACTGCATCCACTTGCAAAAAAAGACTAAAAATAATGGAAGCTCTAATAATAAAAAAAAAAAAAACCAACTCTTAACAATATCAACTATGAACAATTATTTTGCAGGTGTTGGTGTCGCAAGCACATGTTTATCAACACTTTGACTTATTGTATGAATAAGAAAGCTTTTATGAACATCAGAAAAACTTTATTAAATACTTTTTTGTCTTTCATATTCAATGAAACACAGAAACACAAGGTTATTGTCAATAATATATATGATAAAATATAGTTTTAAAAGTATGCTATATCTATGGGCAAAGGTGCTCAATATCAGAGAGATAGAACTCTACGTAAATACAGAGCGTATGAAAATATAAAGTGAAATAAAATAATGAAAATATTCAACACTAAGTGGCGACACATGTTTGGCAAGCTTGATGCAAACTTCAGGGGCTGAATACTGTGCTCAAGCATGAAACAGGCTGTTGCTACTTTGCTTTTGGCCTCAGTTCTACACACACACACACACACACACACACACACACACACACACACACACACACATATATATATATATATATATATATATATATATATATATAAAGGAAAATATATATATATATATATATATATATATATATATATATATATATATATATATATATATATATCAAAGGAAAACATATAACATTCTGAAAAATTGATAATGAATCTATTTCGGTTTGTAAGTTTTTAATACCTGAAAAAAATTGTTTTACTTGCATTATCCTTTTCCATTTACGGACGGACAATTTGATATATATATATATATATATATATATATATATATATATATATATATATTAATGTATATTTGTGCAGTAACTTTTTTTTTAAACATCTTTTGGAATATAACAGACAAGGAAAATTTATTCATTTTTTTTTATTTTCCGTTTGGTCGAAGTAAGAGAGAGAGGCCAAAATTGTTCATATTGTACATTTTCCCAAGAACTTTCGGTCACTTTTTTTAGCCATTTTTCAAGGTGGGGTAGTTTTGGTATGGCTTAATTTCTCTTAATGTTTTCATTGTTTAACATGTAGTCGGTTGTTGTGTTGTTTGGAATAATAGTAAAAAGAATGTATTCCTGAGCTCTTCATATGTTTTATATATATATATATATATATATATATATATATATTTATATTTATATTTATATATATATATATATATATATATATATATATATATATATATATATATATATAATCAATAAAACAATAAAATCTAAAAAATTATATGGGGAGAAAGCTATTTCGGCAGGCGAAAAATATAGGTCGTCTGTCTTATGAACCCTGCTTATGGATTAAGTTTGTGTCCTGAATCAGTCCATATATCGAACTGTTCTATATCATATGACAGACGACCATTTTGTTCGCTGAAATAACCTTATTTCCCATATGAGGTGATTTGGGATTTTAATGTTTATTTAATTTTTTGCCTGTAATGAAATATTGAGCCCCTTCTTAGGACTGCTTTTAATATTTTATATTATTTAGATTCACATGGATTATATGCTATATGTTATATTACTATATATATATATATATATATATATATATATATATATATATATATCGTCAAAATCTACTCTTTAATCCATCTACAGTCA